CTGCATGGAGCATACAGTCGGGATTATTGAACATTCAGATTTGCTGCATTCTCCATACAAAATAGCAAATGAAACCTTTCTGTGTGCATCGATGTCAAAGTCTCCATTCAGACCAAACAGCTTCCAGGCAGATCTGGATCTGCAGGTGAAACGCTGCAGCTTCTCCGTGTTTCTCAGCAGCGTGCACATCCATTGTTGCTAATCCGACGCCAGTTCAGGGTAGGGCAGGTCCTCTGTTCCCTCCTTAATCTGCTTCGCTTCTATATCCCTTTTGTGTACCTTGATTGCTCTTCAAATTGCTTCTCTTTGCCATGTTTCCTACCATCAGAAATGAAACCCCTGGTGCAGGAGGTTGCTGTAGGAAACCCTCCGCTGTCAAAATATGTGCTTGGTCATTCGTGACTGCTCCCTCTCCTGGCTCTGAAGCCCTCTTCTGCCAAGCAGCGATGCTACGTGGCTCTCATTACTTAGGAGTGTGTGAGAGAGTGTGTGTGCACTCTATGTGAGTGAGGCCTTTCTAATAATAAATGACAAATGAGCAACACTGTGTAGCACCTTTCAGAGTCAGAGGACTCCAAAGCACTTTACAGGGTATCATTCACCCATTCACACACACATTCACACACTGATGGTGATGAGCTACGGTGTAGCCACAGCTGCCCTGGGGCGCGCTGACAGAGGCGAGACTGCCGAGCACTGGCGCCGCCGGTCCCTCCGACCACCACCAGCAGGCAAGGTGGGTTAAGCGTCTTGCCCAAGGACACGACAGCAGAATTCTGGGGATCCTTCTGATTGCTGGACAACCCGCTCTACCCCCTGAGCTACTGCTGCCCAAACTCTCCTTCGGCTCGGCCTGGATTCGAACCCGGGTCAGGTGCCCTACCGGTGGAGCTATCCATTTGACGACAAAGTAAGGATGTATTTCTGCGATTTAAATGTGTTCCGTTGTGAAAGTTCTGTGGAAAACGGTGTCTAATTACAACCACTTGTGTGTTTTTAGACTTTAACTCAGTCTCTTGCTGTTTGCTGATTCTCACCGATAGTGATTAAAGCTCAGACGTGTTGCCCCTGCGTGTGCGAGTGGCCCTGTGGCTGCATGTCCTCACAGGGATGTAAGCGGCGAACGTGACGCCAATATGAGCAATGTGCTCTCGGCCGCTCGGGGCGGAAAAGTGAAAGCAGAGATTGGAAGTGCTCCAGGAGTGAGTGCTTGAAATTACTGACAGAAGAGGTTCGGTAACCTTTTGCAGTCTTTCAGAATCAATTAGGCACTGAAAGGAATTCTAAAGATACAGAAGATTTAATGAAAAGGAGAACTTCACAAGCAAACGATGAATAGCTGCCGACTAGAGTTCATCACATTACAGACGGAACATCAAATTATGCCTCAGAAGTCAGGTTTCACACAAAAAAGGGTTTCATTCGGTGTTTTGAATGCAAACTGCTGGCTAGTGAATGCATTTTCTGATCTGAGACTATTTACAGACTTCTTCAGAGACTCAAATCTTCATTTTCAAAAGAAAAAAGGATTCACTGTAAAAACAAGTCTTTCAATCACATTACAGTTGTTTAATTCCCACAGCTTCTCCGAGACTTTCCCCAAGCCACAGCGTTTGGCTTCCTGTGGCCATTCACAAATGTGGACGCAAGCTGTTGTTAAGACTCTGAAAGTAAATTATTAGAAGGAAGCAAAGAGTTCCTTATTCGATTTAGATGGACCAAACCCAGAAATCCGATTTAGCAGTAAAATAGAATGACAGAAATGGAATTACAAGACGTTTGTTCTGTCTCTCCAACAGAGGACGATCAGATGAGCACGGGCGAGGGGCATGGCGGCCTTGGCGGCGGCAGCGGGAAGTCCGGCCCTGCGGCGGAGAAGGACGACAACAACAACGACGAGTACGAAAACTACGACGAGCTCGTGGCCAAGTCCCTCCTCAACCTGGGCAAGATCGCGGAGGACGCCGCCAACCGTGCCATGACCGAGTCAGAGATGAACAGCAACTCGTCCAACAGTGCCGAGGATGAGGAGGATGAGGAGGAGGAGGAAGAGGAGGAGGAGGAGGATGAAGAGGAGGAAGAGGAGGAGGAGGAGGAAGAAGAGGAGGAGGAGGAGGAGGATGAAGCGGAGGAGACGCAGCGGGAAGATTTGAGTTTGGATGTTGACAGTGACGTAGTTCGGGAAACGGTGGACTCCCTTAAACTGCTGGCACAGGGTCACGGGGCGGTTCTGTCCGACAGCTTAGACGGACAAGAGTTTCAGAACAGTGCCGCCGGGATTAGAGACGAGACCGACTGCTCCCACGGGGGGAACCCACACAACGGTGGAAACGGACAAATTAGGACCAGCAGTAATGGACAAATAGAAAACAGTGATGAGGAAGTGTGTTTGAGCAGTCTGGAGTGCCTACGGAACCAATGCTTTGACTTGGCTCGGAAACTAAGTGAAACAAAGTCCGTCGATCGAAACGGACCGACCCAGCTAAACCATTATGCATGCGGGGACCCTAATCAGCAGCCCCAGCATCACGGCTACGGAGACTTTCACAGTCGCCAAGATGACAGACGGTTACTCGACAGGAACTATTCCGACATGGACAATCTCATGAAGCTGGAGGAGCAGCTGAGCCCACGCTCCAAGGCTTTCTCCAGTTGTGCACACGATGAGAGGTATCACACCCACAACCACAGGGACTTTGACGAGGACACGGCCTCCGTGACTTCAGACCGATCGGAGGAAGTGTTCGACATGACGAAAGGAAATCTGTCCCTGCTGGAGAAGGCGATTGCGCTGGAGTCGGAACGTGCCAAGGCGATGCGGGATAAAATAGCAGCAGAGGCGGCGAGAAGAGAGGGAGTGAGGTACACTCATGAGGACCACGGCTCACGGCACGGGTACGGGGTTGAGCGTAAAGCGCGGCTTCCGGATGGCATGAAGAAGCCTTTCTTCCACAAAGGTGAGTGGTTCTTCCAATCCCAGACCGCTGCACACTTGGATTCTGGTGGAAACCATGTCCTCACACGTGTTTGTCACATTTGACAAGCTCAGGTGAAATCTGTCTGTTTCCTGTACCCTGCACACGAGACCAGACGGCCCGCTTATTCTGGGAACCTCAACGCAAACCTAGGACGAGCTTTTTCCAGCCAATTTGGAAATTGGCATCTCGGTAGCAGCGTGAGCGGTAGCAGCGTGAGCGGCAGCAGCGTGAGCGGCAGCAGCGGCTTATGTTGTTAAAATAGGCCAGCATGGAAACATCAGAGGGTAGGCTTGTCAAGCATAAGTAACGGCAATCTGCACGGTCTGTTAGGACCGCAAATCTCATCCCTGCGATGCAGCTTGGGGTAAAGCTGCTATTTTTAAACCTGCACGAGCATTTGGGAGAAGAAGCTGTGAAACGGAGGACCTCAGACGTTACTGAGGACTCGTTCAGCAGCAACTGAGAGGCAAACCTCACAGATTGATGCTTCATATTAAAACAGAGACAAAAGATGCTTCGCCATTGTGGACACGGTCGTGCGAGGCTGTACACGCGTGATAAGCCTCTGATCATCGACTGCAGCGAGACGCAGACTAAAGTAGGCTGCTGCTCCCCCTATAAGGAAGATATCAGATGAGAGCAACACATAAGAGCATGGCAATCCACAGCAGGATGATAATACACCTCAAATGCCACACAACTCACAGCAGGTTTATAGTGCTGCTTAAATGCCACACGAATGCTAATTTCAAGAGCCGTCCGTGGCCTTTGTGTCTGGATAATGTTGGAATAATGAGAGGACTGAAGACGGTTGCACGGCGATAGCATCTTTCCTCGGGCGCGATAGCAGCAGACACTCGTTGACCAGGGTTTCTGTGTGTGATTTATAAAGCAGAGCGTGGCGAGGGAGGACGCTTTCAGGAGAGCCGGCGCTGCCTGAGAGAGGCATGAGGTTGAGAGGGAAATTGAACAGTATCAGAATGACCGATAACGAACGACAGGCCCACTGACTGCACATTAATTATCCAGAGATGGTATGGTAATGGGGGCCATTTGCTATGCAAAGCGCAGACCGTCCCCAGCCACAATCAATATCCCCTGCTTTCTAATATGCCTTCCACTTGGCTGCCCCCGCTCCCCGCAGCCGGAGTGATGCTCGACGAACGCCGGCGTCGAGTCCGTGTTGGCTGCTCACATGCATGAAAGAGGAGAGGGGCTGCTGAAACACTAACGGTGGACGCATCGATGTGACTCGAGCAAAGCCATTACACTTTCTGCATGCAGACCAAGTTCCATACGCGACGTAGCGCTTTTATTCTAAACTCATGCGCCCCTAACGGGACGGGGATGGATGAACGCCACAGAGGATGATGAGGCGCTTCTTTTCTGATGAATGAGACGTGGGATTTCGTTTGGTGACTCATTTGTAAACGTATGATTAGGTGAGCCCTACGCCACCTCTCAGGTTTGCACCGTCAGAACCCTTAGTCCCACTTCACTCCATTATGTTTCTGGCGGTCCCGTAGTCGGAGCGACTGAATTACGGCGCTAAACCCCATCTGCTGATCCAGTCGCTCACACAAACCTGAAACCTTCCAACTCGTCATCAGCTGCCTCTAATGTTATTGAACTGTGGCGTCAGATAGGACATTTCATGTTTATTTGAGGAATGTTTGACTTTCACAGTCAAGAGTTTATAAAAAGTGAATGATTGCTTTTCCAGTACTGTGGGTGCAGTTTGGTGCGTTTTGGAGGTAACCAAGTCTGCTCTGGTCTGGAGGAAATAGGAGCTCCAGGTCTTTGGGAGACACGGGCAGTCTCCTCCGGAGTAGGGATGGGAGTAGTTCAGATCCTCACAGTCCGCTCGATGAGCTGTCACGTGAAACTCAAGGTGGTTTTAATGCAGAAAAGTGTGAAATTTTAAAATTATTCTAAACTGACTGATAGGAAACGGTGTGCTGAAAGCCACTTGTGCATCTGGGGTTTGAAAAGATGTAAAAAAAACACATTTTTACTTCACAAATCTTCATGCTTTGCTATAAAAACTCCATGATTAGAAAAGCCACCAGTGAAGCATGTTCTGGTCCTGCTTCTTCAGATGAATGCAGGACTAAATAAAAACCTGTAAATAAAAAGTTCACTCATATTCACGCCTGTTTGGATTCAAAGGTCAAGGAAGTTGTTTTCAAATGTTTTCTGCATCGCAAAGACAGAAGCTGCTCAAGGAATGTGAAAATACGGAAAATGCTGGAGGATATTTTCCACCTGATTCCAGTTTCAGTCACATTAAAGTCTCTGTGGAATAAAAATGTCGTATTTGTTTGGAACTGTTTATGTACAAATAATCTCTTTAGCTCAATCCGCTTTTTTCTTTTGACAAAATTTAAACTTTTGTGAACCACAAAAGTTGCCAATGGGCCAATCAGATGTGGTGTAACAAAAAAATGCCGGTTTGCTTTACATGATTTTTCTACAGAGGTGTGTCCAGGCTTTAAAACGGGGGCCCAGGTGGGACACTCGTTTATGAATGGGTGGCACCAATGGTCATGCTTTCTTTTGTGTGTGTGTGTGTGTGGGGGGGGGGGGGGGGGGGGGGGTCACCCCTCACAAAATCATTATTTTTTACAATCTAGTGAATTTGTTTCATATTGTGTTCACTGCCATCTTTTTCTCTCTTCTTTTAGCGTTTGTCGTGGTTAGCAAACATCTTCTTGGTTCATTACTGCCACCATCTGGAGTGGAGTGGGACTGTCACCAGGACTCTAAATACCATTTATGTGAATATGAAGAAATAGTTAATAGTAGTAATGATAATACAGAAACGTTATGTTGGTCAGGGCTAGAAACCAACGCTAAAGGTGCGTGCTGCCCCCTACTGTTTTGGGGTTTACAACCCTAAGCGTTTTGTGTAAAGTCAATTTAAATAAAACTCAGTGGGGACACACCCTGGGTGGCTAACCAGATTCCAAGGGTGGTATGTGCTACCCCCAGGCCACTCCCTGGACACGCCCCTGCCACAGGAGCATCCAGAAGTTCCTGCTGGCCCCGCCCCTTGGTGCACTGACGATGCTTCATCTTGCGACTGCAGCTTGTAAATAAACACATCGTGCTATGTAAACAGCGGCAAACTGAGAGACGTGTAAAGATTTATAACGTGCCGGTCAGATGGCATTGATCCTCTCTCTCGTCTACGCTGACAGCAAATCAGCCTGTTTATCTGCAAACGGGAGAGCTAATAAGACATTATTTATAACGTTTACACAAACACATTTCAAAATGGCCATCAGGTCTGTTCTAAGCATCTAGTTTATTTAAACTAGACTGAAATCTCCTTCGGTCTATTAAACATTTAGCTTCTAATCCACAGTCTTGCTGGTTGGACGACATGAAAATGTTTTATTTTAAACCTTTTTGAGCAAATTTTTTGTGATTTTTTGCCACAGAATAAGAACTTCTGGGGTCTTTTTAGCATCGTCTCCTTTTTCTGCACACAGACGCGTCACGTGCAGACAAGAAGGAAAGCAGGTGTCCGACGCCCGGCTGTGACGGTACAGGTCATGTGACGGGCCTGTACCCCCACCATCGCAGCCTCTCGGGTTGTCCCCACAAAGACAGAGTTCCACCAGAAAGTGAGTGACTTGCTCAAAGGCACCCTGGTGTTTGTTTGGTGTTCAGGAATCGGCATGGTCCACTGCTGTCTCGTGTTTGTAGCCGTTAAAGGGTTGCAGCTGTGATTGTGACTTTTTGTTTTGTGCACAGTTTTGCTTTTTTCAGTTAGTGTGTTGTGTTGGTGAGGTGCAAAATGAGACCTGCGGGATGGTCGAGCTGCCCGCTACTGCATGATGCGGCCACAGGGACTGACGTGATGGACAGATTACCATAATCCAGCTCAGGTTTTTGTCTTGGTGAAGGGATGGGTTGCACGCTTCTTCCCAGCATGCCGGTGCATGAATGAGTGAACGGAAAAGGTTAAAGTCCTTGTTCTTCACTCATTCTTGCACCTTTTCCCCGGTAATAGAGTCCTAATTTTCATTTTCAGGAAGCTTGAAAATGTTCACAGACCTTGATAGTGCTGAGCGTGCTTCAGTCATCCATGGCACAAACCCTGTTCGTTTATTTGTAGTCCTCGCTCAATTAAACGGCGCTGAAAGGAAAGGCAGTCTCATATCTGTTAGCCACAGATCAAGAGAGGTGGCAACAAACATTAGCCTTGAATGAAAAACGAGTTTTCCCTCCGGAGGACCTCCGTCTCATCCGTCCCTGGGCAAACTCATCTCTTCTGCATTTTTCATCAGCCGTGGCGTGAAAAGCAGGTTGTGGTCTGTCGCGACCCAGACTTTGGTGAAAATTAGAGCCAAAGGTTAGTCGCTGTTAAAGATGAAACGTGAAAATGACTCTAAGCTCTTGATCAAGAGAATCAAACAGAACTCGGACCTTTCGGGAGTTCTTTGTTGAGATTGTCCTTTGGAACGTGACGCTCCTCGACTGTGTCTGAGCGTTTATCTACAGGTGGTCAGTTTTAGGTAGATTATAAACGAGAACACATGTCAAAAAAAATGACTTCCTGCAGAACATTTACAAATAAAGTCATGCGTTATCGTCACAGAGGCTTTATTTAAGAGTGCAGAACGATCATTCTGCTGAAAAATGACCATGAAGTGCATGTTTCATTTTTAGGACTTTCTTTTGGCTCAAATATTTTAACTAAAAAAATATTAAAGCTTTAAAAAAACAAAAATGTGTGAATAAATGAAGTATAAAAGTAAGGAATTAGATTTTAGTATTTTCTAGCTCCAGATAGCTGCAGGTTTAAAATAAAAGTCTTAAGATTTACAATAAATTGTCCTTTTTTCCCCAGTTCTAAAGTTATGGATGGTAGTTAATTGTGAGCTTTATTTATAAAGACTGAATAATTCTATAATGGAGGGAAAGACTTTGATCCAATCAACGGTGGCACTTAAAGGTGTGGTTCACTGAAAAACTGTGTTTTATGATTATCTCTGATTCCAACGGGTCACTCTGAGTGTTTCATGCAGGCTGAACATGAGAATAGTCTCCTACACCTAGCATTAGCATTAGCTTCTGATAGAAAACAAGACAGTGGAACTCTAGGATTAGAAAAGCCTGACATGGATGGACTCGCCCATCTGGACTCACGGCGGGGAAGGCTGTTGTTGGTTTAGCATCTTGGCTCGTAGATGCTAACCATTAGCATTAGCAACTGCACCACACAGCAGAACTCCTCCACGCTTGTGTTATTCGTGGAGATAAAACATCAACGTTCCAGAGTAACCAGAGTCAGTAGTAGAGTCGTGCTGCTGTTAGCCAATCAGAGGAGAGATGTCCACATATCAGGAAGTGAGACTCCAGATCCTGTCGTCTGAAGCTACTTTCTCCTCCAGCTGACTTTTCCCTGTTGACACAAGCGCTTCTGGGCTTTCCACCCTCGAGTGCGACTTACGAGGAATCCGTTCTTACTAGAGACTTGATAGAACAAGTGACCCGCACATTTACATTTAACTAATGCGCTTAGTGACCTGTCTCAACTCAAGCTGCATCAGCTGAACTTTGGTTTTACAGTTAATGATCTATTCCGTTTTTAAGACATCGAGATTAAATCCAAAAAGGCGACAAAGCAGGAACAAGATTTACAAGCTGGACTAACACCTGGCAACCTGAACCAGGTGTGACGCGAGGCAGGAAGTTCCTACAGAAGCAAAAATCATGTGAATGTCGGCTTCACCACAGAGGTGAAGGATGACTTCATTTACGTGACCTGTTAAGCCTGATTTATGCGTCTCCGTCTGCGTCAGTGCGGAGACACGCAACGCCATTATCCATCCTTGCGTAGGGCTCCGGCAGGCACGCAAGTACGTACGGAGTCGAGTCCACTTTTTTAAACGTCCGTCGAACGAGACGGATTACGCAAGCTTGTGATTGGTCAGGACGCCGCTGTTGTTTACAGCGCCGCCATTGCAAAGAGAGCCGAGGATAACTAGCGGCAGACACGGAGCCGCTTGAAGAATACCTCGCGAAAAAACTCTAAAAATATGAACGTTTAATTCTCCCGTGACTGGAGGAGTGAAAAGATGCGCAGCAAGCGTTTTATTTGTGGACGGAAATGACAGGAAACGTGGGTTTAGAGGTGGGGAGCGCATGAAGCGGTGGGAGAATGAGAGACAAATATGTCCGTGTTAAAAGTCTCTTATATACACAAAAAACACAATATAAACACACGATCTTGGACCGATACATGACAGGATACCACAGAACAGCGCTACGCCCTCTGCTGTCCTGCCGGGGAATTGCTTTGCAACACTCCCCAGGAGACGGAGAAGTATGAAGGCAAAACGCCTCCGTCAATCCGTGTCTGTCCCTTGCGGAGCTGACGGAGAAGCATGAACCAGGCTTAAGGTGACGCGTCACGCAGCCCTGAGTAAAAGATTCAGCTGAGCTTATCCTGTAGCAGAAGGCCAAACCGATCCAGAGTGGGCGTGTTGAACTGAGAAGGAGAGGTGGGGGGCGGGGCTTTATTCAATTACCTGAACTGAACACCAATTAGTATGTAGGGAAGGAGTATGATGGGGGTTAAAGTTTAAGGGGGGGTGATAATGATGAAGCTGATGCCGGTGGGGTTGCCCCCCCCCCCACTCCACCGGTATGGAAGCAGCCCCCACCCCTCCCCCGCCTGCTGCGCTCTGACGGCTCCTCTCGGACATCCATAGATCATTAATCTAATTGGCTGGTTGCCGAGGGGATCTGAGACGTTATGGGCTGTTTTAATGGTAAACGGTATTGAAGACTGCACTCCCTGCCCTAACAATGCACAGATGATAACAAAGCACACTCTATCAAGGCGCTGTCCCCCTTCTGTCCGCCGCTGCCATTGATTTTTAGGGCTGGAGTTTTGCATGATTGCCGGCTGTTTGCATGCCCAGAGTTTCCGTCTCTTCCCGCCTCTTGCTGGCTCTGTCCTGTCAAACTTAAATGACATCTTTTTATTCATGACTGTCCCCCATTCC